GCCTGGGCTTGTCTCTGAAGCCCAAGCAGGGATCTGAGAGCTGCCACCCTCTGCACAGTTAGGGTGCATCTCCAGTGAATAATTTCAGGGGCCTCCTTCAGTTACACTCCCCCTCTTTCCCTGAGCTGTCTGAAACTTGTCTGAAACTCCCCAACACAGGGAAGAAGGTTTGGGCATCATAAGGAGGTGACTTCAACCCCTGCTGACTTGTCCCCGCCCTGTCCCAATCTCTTTTTGCCTACACCCGGCAGGGCTGCCAGCCAGGGGGCATCCCTGGCACAGGATCACCCCGCAACTGAGCCTCTCACCTCCAGCAGTGGGGAGAGGCAGGGACAAAGTGAGCCTCTTCCGTGGCCCTCCTGAGGCTGCCTTCAGGGAAGCCCCTGTCCCTGTGCAGCCTCTGGAGCTGCAGCGGCTCCTGCTGCCTCCTCACCACAGGAACAATGTCAAAGCGAATGGTCTTCCAGCTGCCACGGATCAGCAGGGAGAGCTCCATGGCATCTTCCCGCAGATTTTCAGCACTGATGTCACCTAGAAGCAGAGGGTTTGGCAGCTGTGAGCAGGTTAGCACAGCCGGTCCCGCAGGCTGAACCAGGTCTGTGCTGCAGCAGCCGTGGCCGTGTCCCACCCCACTCGACTCAGCCCTTTCCAGTGCTGCAGTCTGGGTGAAGCTCCCCGGGTAAAATCCCTCTCCCGGCCGTGCTGGGGTGGTTTTACAGGAAGAAGCACCGCAGGGGTCAAGGTCAGGCACAGCAGGAAGTCTCAAGCAATCAAACTGAGCTGTGCTTCTGGGTGGCTGAACAGTGCCAAGAAAAGCAATGCACTCCAAGAAAAATGGATCAGGAAAGGTTCATTGCTTTCTGGGGGTGGAGGAAGATGAAGGTCACTGGCTTGGCCACAGAGGAAGAAGGGGATAGTGGACTTGCTGGGACTGGGTTAAGAGACTTTCAGACCCACTGGTACTCTCACATTACCCTTTCACCCTGGCTGAGCTTTCCTTCAAGAAGCACAATGGGAGATGAAAATGCATGAAGAAGCTTATGGAACAGCTATGGGCATCTCCCAGGGTCCCCTCCCACCAAGGACACTGCTGCCAGCTGGGGCCCACGTGTTCACAGGGTCAGACCCGTGCCCCAGGGTTCTGGTCCAGCTCTGATGCGCTCCCAGCTCACTCTCCAAACAGCCTCCTCCAGAGAGCAGGGGGCACTTGGAGGCAAGAGGTGGAGGGGAGAATGTGGTGAGGGCAAACCAAGCACACCAAGTCCTTGAGCAAACCCTACCTGGGGACTAACAGCAGAGCTGGGTGGACCCTGCACCCACCAAGAAGGGTGCCATCAGTCCCAGGTGAAGATGCCTGAGGATGACTCTGATGCCCTGGGATGGCAGGGAAAAGTTTGCATCTCCCCTTTTCCTTAGCTGGGGGCAAAGCCCATCCCAGCACACAGCAAGGTGCTCGCTAACCTGCCCCTGCAGCTTTTGGGTGGGCCACATGCCCAGGAACCTACGTCCCAGCACGTTTGCATAGGGATGACTGCCAAGCTGGGAAGCTGGGCAGGCACTGGAGAAAGCTCCTGGCGGGGAAGCACCCTGCCAGCGTACACACCTGGCTGAAGCAGGAAGAGGCGTTGGCAGCACACGATGGCTGAAACAAGGAGCTCTTTCAGGTGCTGGAGGATTTTGCCTGGAAGCAGGCACCTCGCACCACCTCCGTGCTCCATCACATCCACACCACCAGTCCAGTCCTCCAAATCAGTCCCTGGAGAGCACACTTCCAGACAGCAGGTGTTCATCTCTGCAGGGCGCCCGCCCGGGCTGTCCCTGCTCCGGCATGCCAGCACACGCAGGGTGTCACCATCAATGCGCAGGGGCACCTCGAGAGTGACAGCGTCCTCAGAGGCACCGACAGCAAACTCGAAGGCTTCCAGGTTCCTGGCGTAGTCCACGAGGAAGCGGGGATCCCTGGCATGGACATTCTCCAGCAGGGTGAGCAGGATGTCCTCGGCCCGCTGGAAATGCTCCACCCGCTGCCTCTCGCGGGACAGGATCACTCCGAGGTAGCTGTGCCAGAGGGAAGTGTTGGCTTCCATGGCAGCTCTGCTACTGCCTTACGCTGCTCCGAGCAGCAGGAAAGGTGCGTGGGCAGGGAGGGCAGGGCTGGCCCGGCGCAGGGCGGGCGGAGGGAAGCAGAGCCGGGCGGTGACAAGCACCGAGTGCTGGGTGACTCCCAGGGAGAGGTACGGGGCAAACCCAGGGCGGGGGCTTGAGTCACACCGTGGCCCCTCTTCTGCCACTCCAGAAGGGTGACAGCGAGTGCTCAGCTGCTGGGTCATGCCAGGGGAACGCTGTGCTCTCCCGCACCGCCCTTGGCATAGGGAGTAGGTGCCGGCAGCACCCCTCCCAGCCAGTGCCAGGTGAAGCACCCACTGTCCTTCACCCCAGCCTAGTCCAGCGCTGCCCGCCCGGCTGCTCCCAGCCTGTGCGGCACCCACAGGAGCTGGCCAGGCTCCTGCAGGGGCAGGGCAGTGGAAGGGCAGCTGGATCCAGAGCCTGCCTTGCCGGTGCCCAGAGCAGCCCTGCAGGCCCAGTGCAAAAGCTCAGCTCCATCGGGCTCCAGCTCTCGCAGGTGCGGCAGCCCCCGGCGCCCCTCTCCAGCCCGCCTCGCCGCACACACGGGCCCCGCCCGGACCGCGGTCTCCTGCCAGGCTGCGGGAGGATGGACCCGGGAGGACGCACAAAGGGGGCTTTGGACCCCAAAGCCGCCGTGGGGAGGCTCCGGGAGCGGCAGGGCCGGTCCGTGGGTGCCTCAGCCCCGCCGCTGCTGCCGTGCCCCGGCCCCGCTCCGCGCTCGGGGGCTCGGTGCATCCCGAGCTGCCTGCGCTCGTACCCTCAGACCTGCCCGCGCTTCTCCCCATCTCCCACAAACCCCAGAATGCGGATTGCCCGGCACGTTATCTTCTCTGAGTGCCGTCACCTTCCAGAGGTCCCCGAGCTCCGCAGGCCTGGAGCCACAGCTCAGTGATGATGCCTGCGAGGCTGGGCTCTCGCCGCGGGACCCTGTGCTCAGCCGTCCCGGCTTTCCTGCCTCGGTCACAGCAGGGAAGGCAATGGGGAAGCGGGGGTGGCTCCGTGGCAGCAGGGGGCCCGAGACGAGCTTGGGGACCACTTGTGATGAAGAGAGGGAGAGTGCCAAGGGGCTCATGGCCGCTCCTCCCATCTCCTGTGGCTCACGCTTACCCTTTTTAAACAGCCCAAGTGAGGTTTCTCGATCTCCCCAGGGGTTATTTCCAGCGCCTCCTTCAATTCCCTGTTGCTGAGGAGCTGCCCTGAAGGTAGGAGTCTGTCCCTCATGTTCATTAACCCTTCTGCCAGCCGACTGAAGGAATTCTGCCTTCCAAGGGTCAGAGCTTCCACCTGCAGGGCATCCTTGAGCAGCTGCAGTCCGAGCCACTAAGCCTGCACTGGGCTTCTCACTACCAGGGGGCTGCAGGTACTCTGAGCTGGGGAGTCTCAGCCAGATTTTAAACCCTGACAAGAGCGATGGGCTCTGCATTTCCTTCCCTGAGCTCTGTGCTTCAGGTTTCAGCCCACCTGAGCACGGGATGCTCAGTCCCCCACGCCAGTGACTGTCTCAACCGGAGCGGGGCAGGTCTTGCCCTCCTCCATCATGTGGGGAAGACAAGCTGGCTGGTGTCCCGGAGAAGGACCAAAAGCAGCAGACCCCCATCAGAGTGTCTTGGGCTCATCCTGAAAAATGCTGAACCCAAGCCAGACAAGACAGATTACTGCTTCATGCCCTGGTGTGGGAAAAAGAGGGCAGAGAGATGCAGGCAACCATGTTTCTGGAGGTGGTGGGGCATGGCTCACTGCTGTCAGGGTTGCAGTGTGTCCATCATTCTGTCATGGATGGAGTCCCTGCCTCAGCAGCAGCCAGGACATTCCTTCTGACCGTGCCTGGCAGGAATGCTGGAGGAGGCTGTGGGCATCGTGCAGAAGCTGAATTGAGAGCCAGGAGTGGTTCTATAGGAAGGTAAGCCTGGGCAGGGCATGGAAACATGCCTGTCCCTCCAGATGTCTTGGTGCTAGTGGGGTAACCCTGTCCTCTTGTCACAGTGCTGGCAGAGCCCACAGTGTGACCTGACATCCTGCTGCCAGAGCTCTGATGCTGGGAAGAGCCAGTGTGATGTGATCCCTTCAGCTCATCTCTGTGCTTTTCAGACCTCTGGGTGCCACAATCAAGAGGTTGGTGCTGCAAATGCTGCCTTCCTGTGGGCTAGGACCTCCCCTTTTCCCCTTTCCCCCTTTTCCCCTTCCCCCTTTTCCCTTTTCCCCTTTTCCCTTTTTCCCCTTTTCCCCTTTCCTCCTTCTGCCTTTCCCTTCCTCCTTTCTTCCTCTTTTCCTCCTTCCTGTTCTTCACCCTGTTTTTCTCCTTTCCTATTCTCCTTTCCTTTCCTCTCTCACTTCCTCTCCCCTCCTCATTCTCTCCTCTCCCCCATAGGCAAGGGGCCAGGGGCAGGCCCTGGAGGAGCATCTTCCTGGCTGCTGCCAGGCACAGGCAGCACAGTGAGTGACCCTGCTGCAGGCACCATGTGAGAAGGAGGAGTGATGCTGGGCAGTGGCACATCTGGTGACAAAGCTGGCCAGCCAGAAGAGGTGGGAGCAGCTGGAGGTGCTGCCAGATGCTGAGCAGGGCTCTGAGCAGGATGGTGTACATCAGGTGGTGGGCACAGAAGCTCCAACCCACGTGGGAGAGCCCTGGCTGGAGCCGTGCTGCGTGGGATGAGCCATGGGGCAGGGACACTGCACGGCTGGGCATTTGGGGCAGCACCTGGACACTCAACCCACAATCAGCCCAAGCTGAGCACAGGTCCACTGGCCCAAAAATAGCAGGAAAAACTTCCTAGTGGGAAGGTCAGTTAGGCTATGGAAGACATGGCTGGAGTGCAAAGTGTCTGGGCAAGTCACTAGAGGCTGGTGGCGAGTGCCTCGGCACTGGCAGAGAGTTTGGCCTGAATGAGCTAATCACTGTTTCCATCTCGCTGCTTTACAGTTCCAAGAATTTTTGATCTGTTAGAAACAGGAGAAAGAAAACAACCCCAAGCTGAAGGGCAAGTACAAGCAAGAGAGAGGAAAAAAACCTGGGGGCATGGGAGCACCTGGCACAGCAGAGGTGGGCGAGGAGCTGCAATGAGCCCCCAGTGTCCCTCACCCAGCTGCAGGGCTGTGCACTGTGACTGCTGCATGCCAGACCCTGCCAGATGCCATCATCACTCAGCAGAAAGATTTTGGGGTGCTGAGCTGGTGGGTTGAGGAGCTGGCAGGCACATGGGCACTGGGATGAGGAGGGAGGGAGGTTATGTTCTGCACCAGCACCAGCACTTCGGCACCCCACGAGCCCCCAGAGTGGCATGGCCCCCAACAAAAGGGCTGGGATAGGGAGGGGGGACAAAGGCAGGGAAGGTAGAGAGGAAGAGAGAGTAATTTAACATGACAGGCTGTTTATTTTGGCAAAAAGGGTCTCTTTTCAACAGATTTCAAAGCTCAGCCCTGGGGCTTGGGGGGGGGACCACACAGCGGGGTGGGAGATGAGGGGTGCAAGATGGGGGGGTTCAGTGGGGCACCCAGACTGAGAGGGAGAAGAATGCCCTGTCTGTTCCTGCCTGGGGCACAGGCTGTTTTTCAAGCCCTGGCTGTGCTTGCACGCTGCAGCAGCGGGGTGTCCCCGTGGGTGCCCACGCTCCCGCACGCACACGCTTGCCTGCATGCACACACACACATTCGCACGCTCCCCCTGCCCCTGCTCCTTCCTCCAGGCCAGGGCTCAGCTGGAGTCTTGGCTTCCCCCAGTGACATTTCAAAATAGGCTGTTTATTAAAATTAAAAAAAAAAATTAAAAAAAAAAAAACAACCGCAGGGGGGGGATTGCTAGGAAAGAAATAATTATTATAATCACATTAAGAGCTTTGGCTGTAAAACTCTTGTGAGAGCACAGGGAAGGAGCTGGGGCTGCTCTCTGCAGGGAGTACAGGGGGTGGTTTTCCTGCCTTGTGCTCTTTTATTTTCCAGTCCTGATCCAAAAACACCTCCCCTCCTCCCCTTTTCCTCCCCTTTATCCTGGGAAATGAAAACAATTTATTTAATGATGGATCATCCCTTTCTCTGGTCACTGACCTTCTGGGTGAATTTCTGCTGAGCTCGGTGGAAAACTCGAGGCTGGGTTGTGGATCCCATCTGTGGATGGGGGAGGGGGGGAGCTCACCCTTATCCTTCCCAAAATCCACAGCAACAATCCTGGGGAGCAGGACAGGGCTGGCAGAGAGGGTCCCCACCAGGAAGCCCAGCAGCAGACTTTGCTGCGGGCACTATCCCTGCAGACCGGGGGCTTTGGGGGCAGATATGGGGGCCCCAGAGCCTTCTCTCAGCCTGATGGGTTTTTGGTATTTATTTGTTCTGCTCTGAGGTTGGGGTGGGCTGGGGTTGCAGTGCTGAGGTGGGAGTGGGCAATGGAGGAGTGATCTCCACCCTGCCAACAGCCCTTGCTGCCCAGCAGGGCTTCTCTGGCTCAGGGTGTCTGTGGGAAGTGATTTTGGGAGCTGCTCAGGGACCGTGTGGGGCAGCGTGGGGTTCCCAGCAGCAGCAGCCAGCCGTGCATTCCCGTGTTTTCCTGTGTATTCCCGTGTATTCCTGTGTATTCCTGTGTATTCCTGTGTACTCCCGTGTACTCCCGTGTATTCCCGTGTATTGCCGTGTATTTCTGTATACTCCTGTGTGTTCCCGTGTATTCTTGTGTATTCCTGTGTATTCCTGTGTATTCCCATGTACTCCCGTGTATTCCCGTGTATTGCCATGTATTGCCGTGTATTCCCATGTATTCCCGTGTATTCCCCTGTATTCCCCTGTATTCCCATTTATTCCCATGTATTCCCGGTAGTCCTGTGTATTCCCTTGTATTCCCATTTATTCCCATGTATTCCCGGTATTCCTGTGTATTCCCGGTATTCCCGTGTATTCCCGGTATTCCTGGTATTCCCGTGTATTCCCGTGTATTGCCATGTATTCCCGTGTATTCCCAGTACTCCCGTGCATTCCC